GGGGGCGGGGGAGGGAGGAGTTAACAGAATTCACAACAGAGGGCCTGCTTTTAAAATAACAATATAAAAACCTTTCTACCAATTGCTGTAATCTTTTTTTCTCCTATCAGTCTAGGTATATTGCAGCATAAGCTACAAAACCTACAAAAAGAAAAGCAGAAAGCAGAAAGCCACACTGAAATCTTTTTCAGACAAAACCACAGCACCTTCCTCTCTCCACTTCTCAGAACCTCTGGTCATTTACCTCCTCTGCAAAGAAATCTCACCTCAACCAGTAACAGAGAGCCATACAAAACAAACCCACAAAGTCAAAAACATCCCTTCCCAAAAGCAAGTTTACTCAGGATTTCTTGAAAGTCACAGAAATCAGACAACGGAGAACATGGAACCATCTAGGATGTTGCCACTAGCCCAGTGAAACTCTCCCTAAAAACTAGAAAGACCATGATATTTTGAGAAGAAATGTTTTTAAGGAAAGTATTTACTGATTTTAGTTACTAACATTTTCCTCCTCCTCTTTTTAACAGAGCCGTGTGTTTTTATTTTTTTTAATTATTGAACTCAAGCTTCTCCCTGAAGATGACAAATAGTTCACTGTTCTGTCCAGTTTACAGAGATCTGGAACCATTTACATATTTTTTTTACTTAGTTTTCCTCATTGGAATCATTGGAAGCTGTTTTGCAACGTGGGCTTTTATACAGAAAACCACAAATCACAGGTGTGTGAGCATATACTTAATTAATTTGCTCACAGCTGATTTCCTGCTCACTCTGGCATTACCCGTAAAAATTGTTGTTGACTTGGGTGTGGCACCCTGGAAGTTAAGGATATTCCACTGCCAAGTAACAGCCTGTCTCATCTACATCAATATGTACCTATCTATTATCTTCTTAGCCTTTGTCAGCATTGATCGATGTCTTCAGTTAATACACAGCTGCAAAATATACCGAATACAAGAACCTGGATTTGCAAAGATGATATCGACGGTCGTGTGGCTCATGGTCCTTCTTATAATGGTGCCCAACATGTTGATTCCCATCAAGGACATCAAAGAAAAGTCAAACGTAGGTTGCATGGAATTTAAAAAGGAGTTTGGAAAGAACTGGCACTTGTTAACAAATTTCATATGTGTAGCAATATTTTTAAATTTCTCAGCTATCATTTTGATATCCAACTTCCTTGTAATTAGGCAACTCTATAGAAACAGAGACGATGCAAACTATCCAAATGTAAAAACGGCTCTAATCAACATCCTTCTGGTGACAGCGGGTTACATCATATGCTTTGTTCCTTACCACGCTGTCAGGATCCCATATACCCTCAGCCAGACAGAGGTCATATCTGATTGCTCAACTAGGATCTCCCTCTTCAAAGCCAAAGAGGCCACGCTGCTCCTGGCTGTGTCCAATTTGTGTTTTGATCCAATCCTGTACTATCATCTCTCAAAAGCATTTCGTCTGAAGGTCACTGAGACTTTTGCCTCACCTAAAAAGACTAAGGCTCAGAAAGAAAAATCAAGATGTGAAAATGATGTGTAAAATACAGGGGTTTTGCATGTTAGCCCTTCTTTCCAACTGATCTGCAAAGCTGGTCATAGTTTTCAAAGATAAAAGAAGAGAATTAGTAATAAAAGTTGCTGGTTACTAGCAAACACAGACTGGTTCCTGTGGGAGTCCTTCTCTCCATACAAACCAACACTGTACTCACAACAGTTGCTGATATTCTTCAGCCCAACTATTTGTACAGGAAAATTAACAGAGAATCTTGATTCAGGATCAACCTGGGTGACCAAAGTGAGGAGAGCCATGGCAAAGACTCAGAGGCTCATTTCAATAGTTCTTGATGATCAATTCTTCTTGATGAGAATATGCCACATAATCTGCATCTACACTGCCAGGAAGCCCTTCAGCAACACAGTCAGGTCTTCAGCAACCTCAAAAATAAAGACATCAAAATACCTGCATTGTTTTCATTTTTAACCTACCGCTTTGAAAGTTAGTAAATGTTCTATTCAGTACATCTGCTTTTACTATATGATTTTTTTTGCAACACAACCATAACTTTTAGTTATAAAAGGTTTACAGTGACAGGAACTGTGGATCACCCTGGAGACTGAGGCAAAAAGGGTCATTATAAGTTCCAGACTAGCATGGGCTACAAAAAGTGAATTGCAGGCCATCCTGGCCTATAAAATGAGACCCTATCCCTAATTAATTTTAAAAGGGGGTTGCAAATACATGGGTATGTTTTAAATAACATGAGGGAACTGTTAAATTATATTAACTACTGAAACTGTTTTGGAAGTGAAAATCCATATCAAAGGTATTAGAAAAGTAAGTCCAGCCAAAGAATCTTAAAGTAGAGACAGAGACTCATCACTAGGCCAAGCTAGGAACATAGCCTATGTTAGGCCACAGTACCTCTCAAATCTAAAGACCTGGCCAATAAGAAGGAATCTGCAGTCCACAGTACAAGTCGCTCCAGCTCTGAGCAGATCCTCTCCACTGCCAGTACAGACACAGGTGAGGCATGGCGGTAAATAAGCATACTAAGAAAATCAGAAAAGAACTGAGAAGCATTCATGAGGTTTGAGTTTGTGTTCCGGTTTAGTTCCCTCATGACACAGGATCTCCTATATCTTGCTGTGGCCTTGAGCTCACTACATAGCCACAGATAATCTTAAATGCCTGATCTTCTTCCTTCTACCTCCCAGGTTCTGGGATTATAAACATGTGCTACCAAAAGTAGCTCTCCTGTGTGTATTTTTAACATTACAGAAAATCCACATAAAATAGTTAATAATGGGCTAGAGAGATGGCTTGGGAGTTAAAAGCACTTGCTGCTCTTTCAGAGGACCAATGCTCAGTCCCCAGCACCCCATATACTGAGGCTCACAATTGCTTGTAACTGTACTTGCACGGGGTACCAGGTATGCTGATGGTACACATATATACATGCAGGAACTCACACATGCACATGGAAAGAAGGGAGGGTAGGAGGGAGGGAGTGTGGGCAGGCAGGCAGGTGGGCAGGCAAGCAGGCAGGCAGTGGTGGTGGGGCACACACACCTTTGATCCTAGTACTTAGGAGGTAGAGGTAGTTTGAGTTTGAGGCCAGCCTGGTCTACACAGCTAGTTCTAGGACAGCCAAGGCTACAAGAAACCCTGTCTTGAAAAACCAACAGAAAGAGGAAGGAAGGAAGGAAGGAAGGAAGGAAGGAAGGAAGGAAGGAAGTACATTGCAATAGCTGTGGTGATAAGTGACAATGAGTCCAGACTAGATGTGGCAACACATGCCTGAAATACCACACTTGAGAGCTGAGACAGCTGAGAAAGGATTGTAAGCCTGTACAGATTTTATAGCCAGATACACACACACACACACACACAGAGAGAGCGAGAGAGAGAGAGAGAGAGAGAGAGAGAGAGAGAGAGAAAGAGAGAATAGGGGAGGGGGAGAGAGGGAGGGGGGAGAGAGAGAGAGAGGGAGGGAAGGGAATTGAATGTGCTCCTGGATGCCAAGAATATTAAGTTTTATTGCAATGTCATTTTTGTATTTGAAGAAATAGTTTCAAAGTCCTGTGTATAAATTCACAAATATATTCTCAGTCTGATGAAAACAATTTAAAAAGCACCAATTGTCAATATTTTAAAAAGGAACATCTAACAGTAGTTTCCAGAATACTTAAATGACAGGAAGTCCAATTAGTATGACAAGTCTGACACCATGTAAATTCATGCCGGGTGACAGGTAGGTAGAACACATTCACAATTAGACCTGTGTTTGTCACTGGCCTAAACAATTTTTTCTTTCTGGTGAGCAGATCAAAGCAGCCATGAAAACCATTTTTTGAATATATATAGAAAACCATTTTTGAATCTTTGCTCAAATACCCCTTCATCCTCTATCCTTGGTCCCTAGTTTCTAAGATAACTCAGAAGTTGGCAGAAGGCCAACAAGTATTATTACATTTGCTCCTCATACACAACAGGTGGTCAGAGTTCTCCTAATCAGAGGAGACAAAGACTCTCGGTATAAGGTCAATCAACACCTCATTAGCCCATCTTTTTCCTTTGATTTATTGTCATTTATAGTCATCAGAAAAGGGGGGGGCTTAAATAAGTCAGTAGTGGAAAGCTGTGCTTGTTAAGGCTTTTGGTCAACTTGACACAAGGTGGAATCATTTTAGTAGAGGAAAGCAGAAAATGTTTCCATCAGATTGGCCTGTAGGCAAGTCTATGGGCATTTTCTTGATGAATGACCAATGTGGAAGGGGCAAACCCACTATGGGCAGAGCCAAACTGGGCAGGTGGTTCTAGGTGGGATATGAAAGCTGCCTGAGCAAACCAGAAGAAATGATGCAGTAAGGAGCATTCATTCCTCCATGATCTCTTCTTCAGTTCCTAGCCAGAATTCCTGCCCTGACTTCCTGTAATCTGTAAAATGAAACAAACCTCTTTGCTGCCCCAAGTTGCTTTTGTCAGTGGTGTTTATCACGGCAATAGAAAGCAAACTAGAACAAAAGCTAACTAAAAACTGGATCCAAAGAAGGTGGCTTAGTGGGTAAAGTTGCTCTCCCCTCTAGCCCCCCACCCTGCTGTGTAATCATGAGGGATCCAAAAGCCACACAAAAAGCCAGGAATTGCCACTCACTCCTGTACCCCAGCACTGTAGGACACACTCTCTGGCCCCTGTGAATGTGTGCACAGGTGCACACACCTGCTTATATACATACACACACACACACACACACACACACACACACACACACCCTACAGTATACACCTTACATGCCTGCATAAGCACACAAAAATTATTAAAAATTAAAATTAGAGCCTCCAAAAGTTGTCAAGGGACATGATCATACAACACTTTCCTCTAAGGACAAGGTCATACAGACAACACAACAAAGAAGCTGATTTTGGATACCTGCTCAGATCCCAGAAGCACAGAGAAAACAGACCTGCAAATTCTCAACATACTTCCACCATTTTAATGTATTATTTTATTCTTTTGTTTGTTTGTTGCTTGTTTTTCCAAGACAGGGTTTCTCTGTGTAACCCTGGCTGTTCTGGAACTCTCTCTGTAGATCAGGATGACCTTGAACTCACAGAGATCTACCTGCCTCTGCCTCCCAAGAATTGGGATTAAAGGTGTGTGCCACAACTGCCAGGTTTACACTTAATATTTTAAAAAAAAAAAAAAAACCCTAAGGCATGATAGCTTATCCTTGAGTCAGAAACATCTGTAATATATAAAGCCAATATCTCCATTACCACAAATGAACTGCCAGATTACTCTGCTGTTGAAAATTGGAGACAGAAAAAAAAACATAGAAAATTATTGATAATATTCTGAGATGAACAAGAAAGAATTTTGTAAAGATTAAACATAGTACAAGGACACAAACAGAGTGTTTTAATTGACATAAGACAAAAAACATGGACTTAGTGAGTTTGACTCATTTTGGAGGATGTTTCAAAATATCAGTTATACTTAGCTTTAACAAAATCCTCAGCTGGGGGCTGGAGAGATGGCTCAGCGGTAAATAGCACTGGCTGCTCTTCCAGAGGTCCTGAGTTCAGTTCCCAGCAACCACATGGTGGCTCACAGCCATCTCATAATGAGATCTGGTGCCCTCTTCTGGCCTGCAGACATACATGCAGGCAGAACACTGTATTCATAATACATACATAAGTCTTAAAAAAAAAAAAAAAGAAAGAAAGAAAATCCGCAGCTTACTGCTCAAAACTTCCATGTGTCCAAAGCACAGCATGCAGGAAACAGTTTGCCCAAGAATTAAAAAGTCTCAGCTCTTAGCCTAATGCTCATTACTAACATTTTCTTTGGGATAAACACATCACTACTTAAGACTTCAACACTAAGATCCCTGCCACGATCTTCTCACTGATACCCAAACTTTAAACCTACCAAGTCCAAAGCCAAGCCCACCTACCCACAGCCTCTGTAATCAAGTCAGACTTCTCAGTGGCACTGGTCCTTCTCCCCTGTCTTCACTTTGAGAATGGAAGGGGCACAGGAATGTCAAAAGCTTGCCTTTTAGTGGACACTTAGGTTTTCACCCAATTGCTTCACTGGCCCCAAAATTCTTACTCACCTGTAACATGCCAAAAGTATAGCCAAACAATACAAGTTAAAAAAAAGAAAAAATAACCAACAATTGACTTTAAAATTAAAGTAGGAAACATATTTAGACATTACTTTTGGTGACTCAAATCCTTTTAGTAAAAGGATATTAATACAGGGAATTCTATTAAATGTAGCTAGTCACTAATAATCACACCATAACATCCAATCTATATCTGTACACAGGCCATATAATCCAAATAATAACCATCAAAGCACTGGCGCACATTTTGACCTGACAGCATGTGTGAGCAGACGAGCAGGTAGCTAATCTGATAGCCATAGAATGAGATCACCATGGCCCACACTGATGGAGCCATGACTTACCAGAGGTATAGGAAAGTGGGTGGCGTACTGCAGGTGGCGGAGGAGGTCATAGTTTGATGGAAAAATTAGTTCCCTTGGTTTTTCTCTCTTCAGAAGTTTCTCGCCATTAACTGACATTCCTCTGCTCAGGGAAGGGTGGGCATTCTCACAGGACTCTCCAGGCATGGGAGAGAAAATCTATGTCATGTAAAACAAATATCAGACATCAATGAAGAGAGCAAAACTACCACACCATTGTGCCACATGCCAGGACTTCAAATACAAGATGCTCACAGAATAACATTTCTACAAAACAGCTGATCAAAAAGATACACAGGAACTTTATTAATGTTTGCAAAATTAAATCACAAAAAAATCTATAAATATCCCCACCTTGAGAAAATGGGAAAATGAAAAACACATGGGGAGGGGACGGGGAGGGAGTGGCCAAACCAATAAGAGGACTGGCCATGTTAGCAAACTTAAAAGTATTATCCTCAAAGAGTTGCATTTCCTCCAAAAACACATGCTTAATAATACTTAATAAGATTAATCCATAGGTAAATATTTTTAAATGTACAAGCAAACAAAAATAACAAGATTCATGAAAAACACACCATACTGAGAGACAGTAGAAAAATGAATTAAGCATAATGCTATTCTTTAGAAACTGGATACATAAATTATCATAATGACACTACATCCCCACACTACTCAGAGATGATGATCCCAAAATAAAAGTGTCAAAGCCAGTCAGCTCTGTTTAGTTTACAAAGGAGGCAATGCAACTCAGGAGTGAGGATGGCTTGAGAAGAAACAACTACAGAAGAACACTGTGACTTAGGGTGGATGACATTTACATCACATGTGTGAGTCATTCCAATACATGAGGCAAGAAATAAAAAGATGGAGACAAGTTGGGGTGGGAGTTGGTGAGTTAACTGTCAATGAGAATCAAAGGTTGAACCTACTGGAAACTCAGAACCAAAGTCACTTTTAAAGTCACTCTTGTCTACTTCATCAAAAATGTTAGTGGTTCCTGAGCCAAGGCCCATGTGCGCCATAATACTGTGTTCCTGGTAATTGCCAGAAAAAAGAAAGCCATGTTGTAAACTTTGTATTTTAAGAAATGGAAATTGAAACATGACAGTAAATTTTTCAACATCCTATCTATCACTGCCACTGTCTACTTCCCTAAATGAAGTTAAAGGAAACTTGAAGGCATGGATTGGGTTTAAAAGTCACACTTTGTCCCCCTGTGAAGACAAAGCTTTAACTTCCATGATGTTTTAAAGAAGGAGTCAAGCTTTGTAACTTAAAACAAACTGGACACAATTACTTTCATTGGGCTATTTCCAATAGAAAAAAAAAATACTTAAAGATCTAAGTAGAACATGAGATGCTTTAAAAAACAAACAAATAATAGCCACAACCTTAAACATATCATAAGACTATCTGGTAAATTCATTTTAAATAACTGAAATAAAGTTGTATTTTTGACTACTCTCTGAGTCTCATCATTTTCCACTGTTTCTCTTTGTTACCTAAATCATTTTATCTTGAAATTTTAAGTATTGGGACAATGTCTAAAATATCAGAACCTGACAGAAAGGCATACAGTTGTACCCATAGCATAAATTGCTGCAAAGATCAACTCTAGTCTCTGTTTTAGAAAGAGATTAAACTTTGCAAAGAAAATATGTGTTATTAAGAATGAGGGATTCCCTCTTTATATGGAGAAGAGTGGTGTATGGAGACACTCCTTAGAATGAATGTCAAAGGAGTGTGATATTAAAAAAATTTCACCCATGAGGCACAAAATTCAAAGCAAATTTCAAGCTACACACATCTAAAACTGAAAGCATATCACTTTAATCTCATGAAAATAAAATTGTGGTCAGTCACATCTTTTCATTAACTATACAACATAGAAAATTCCAGAAGACACATATTCCAAATGTCCCTTGTGATTGGAGGGGAAATAAACTTTGTAGAGAGAAAGTAACTAAAATCCAGTTGCCTTTCCATCACCAAATAGCCTATCTGCAACTGACTCCCCCAGTGGAATTTACTTTGGGATGTGGTATGGACATCATCCCCAGGGGTATACCTCCATCTTCATATCATGGTCCTTGGAATAGTGTTCATCTGCATTCTCTCCTACTGGTGACCGCAGCCCAGCCGAGGCACTGACTGACAAATCTCCTCTTGAGATGAGGGTGCACATGTATGCATCATGGGAGAAGACGTCATGGCGGATAAACTCACAGAAGAGCAGCACCAAGTTCACAAATTCTACCTTCTCGCATTCACTGTTTGGGTCCGCTAAGGTTAGAAACAAATTCAATCAGAAAGTCCTTGACCAGCCACTCCCACCCCCCTCCAAAAACATCAAGGTTTTAGAACATTTTCACTAACTTTTATACTTTTATTGATGTTTCTTTAAGAAAAGTACAAAAGATGACAGGGGTGGTAGAGATAGATCAGCTCTTTTTATGCCAATTTAACACAGCAAGAACAGCAACCAGAAACAAAGGAGCCTCCAAACGATCCAGTTGTATCTGCCCTGTCTGCAAGATGTGCTGGGGTATCAGTGGTGCAGAACTTTGTGGGAGTGGCCAACAACTGGTCCAACTTAAGGCCCATGTCACAAGAGGGAGCCCATGCCTGGCACTTCCTGGTTGGCCAGGAACCAAAGGTTGGACAGCCTAGAGACCCAGGAAAGGAATAAACATGACCGCCGCCCGCCCCCCCAAATCAACGACATTATTCCTAATGATATTCTACTATACTCATAGATCAAAGCCTAACCCAATTGTCAACAGAGAGTCATCATCGAGCAACTGATGGGAGTAGATGCAGAGACACACAGCCAAGCACTAGGTGGAGCCAGGGGAACCCATAAAAGAGGGGGTGGAAGGACTGTAGGAGCCAGAGGGCTTGAGGACACCATGAGACCACAGCCCACAAAATCAACTAAGGATGGCTCACAGGGGCTCACAGAGACTGGAACAGCAATCACAGACTCTGTGTGGGTCTGAGCTAGGTCCTCTGCACATACTTTATGGTTGTGTAGCTTTATGCTCTTGTGCAGGAACTCCTGATAGTGGGAGTGGTGGGAATCTCTGACTCTTAGGACCCTTTCCTCCTACTGGGTTTGAGTCATCCAGCCTTGATATTAGGGTTCCTACCAACTCTTATAATTTGTTATGTCATGTCCAGTTAATATCCCTTAAAGGTCTGTTTGTTTTGGGGTTTTTTGTTTGTTTGTTTGTTTGTTTGTTTTTAAGGAAAAGGAGGAGGAATGGATCTTGGGTAGAGGGGAGATGTAGAAAGGGAATAGGAGGAGTCGGGGGAGTGGAAACTGAGGTTGGGATGGAATGTATGAGAGAATAAAAAATTAATTAAAATTCAGCTGTAAGGCATTTTCTTAATTAGTGATCAACAGGGGAGGTCCCAGCCCATTGTGGGTGGTGCCATCCCTGGGCTGGTGGTCCTGGGTTCTATAAGAAAGCAGGCTGAGTAAGCCATGAAGAGAAAGCCAGTAAGCAGCACCCCTCCATAGCCTCTGCATCAGCTCCTACCTCTAGGTTCCTGTCCTACTTGAGTTGCTGTCCTGACTTCCTTTAGTGATGAACTACAACATGGAAGTGTAAGTTAAATAAACCCTTTCCTCCCAAATCTGCTTTCTGGGCATGGTGTTTTGTTACCAATATTAGAAACCCTAAGAAAATTTGGTTCCAGGAGTGGAGGGTATTGCTATGACAGACCTGATCATGTTTAGGGGAAGATTATGGAAGAACTTAGGAACTTTGGGCTAGAAAAATGTTAGCAGTGTTGAAAGCTCAGTAGTATGCTCTTTCAGAGCTTGGAAGATAATAATGCTGAGAGAAATGGAAAAAATGGAGGCCTAGGAAGTTTCAGAGGAAAATTTAAAGACTCTATCAGGGACATTTGCTATTTTAAATCAAGATTCTGTCATTCTGGTTAGCTGGGGCTGAAGAATCAGCTGTGATTAACAAGATGCCAGAACTACTAAAGTGAAACCCCCCCTCCATTACTGGGACACTCAATGCTGGTTGGCTAAGGCTGAGAAATTAGCAGTGATTAAGAACAGACCAGCAAGCTGGGCGTTGGTGGCGAACGCCTTTAATCCCAGCACTCGGGAGGCAGAGGCAGGCGGATCTCTGTGAGTTCGAGGCCAGCCTGGTCTCCAAAGCAAGGGCCAGGATAGGCTCCAAAGCTACACAGAGAAACTCTGTCTCTGGAAAAAAAAAAAAAAAAAAGAACAGACCAGCATTGCTGGGGTGAAACAGTCTCAGAAGTGTTTCCTGGGAGGACACAGAGGCTGTGTTCCAGAGGCGGCCAAGGTTAAACCTTGCAACGCCAGCTGAAATAGGTAGTGTGGTAGTGTTAAGAGCTACCCAGATAGTACTGGTTTTGAGGGCATGAAGAGGTCAGGGAGAGCAGCTGAAACCTGGCAATGTGAGAGGTGAGGCCAGGCCAGGTCATTTGTGAAGGTGCAGCCTTAGTGGTAGTTGAAGGCCCAGGACTGAAGGAGTCATGCAGAGAAGTTGTGGCTTGGCACTATGGAGACCCTATGAGAGGCTATTAGTGAAAGTACAGCCCCGTTGCAAAAAGGAACTCCAGGATTTTGGAGATTCCAGTACCATGGGATGACTACCAAACATAGCAGCAGCAGTGGAATAGAGCCAGCCAGAGCCTTGAAGACAAGCTGTGTGTGCTGCAGAGGGCTGAGCCAGAGAGGTGACCCAGGCCCTTTGGAGGAGTCCAGAAGATCATGTGTGGATCCCAGACCCTGGGCAATTACAGTTTGGTTTTGCTTTGATTTGGTTGTGGACTGTGTTCTGAGTTTTTCCTCTTGGAGGAAGGAAGTATTTGATTTATCTTTTTATTTTTACTGAGCCCACAGTTGAGAGAATTTGAATTTTAAAAGACTGGATTTTAAAAGAGATTGGCTATTTTAAAGGGACTGAAATTTTAATGTGTTCGAATTTGTGAAGACTGTGGAGCTTTTAAGGTAAGATCTTGGGAATGAATAAGAAAGAAAAGATTGTAAGTTAATAGTGATGTTTGTGTGTCAAGCTAACAAAGGGTCAGTTTACTATTTGGTTTTATGTAAACTTGACACAAGCTAGAGTCATCAGAGGGGAAGAAGCCTCAATTGAGACAATGCCTCTATATAAGATCAACTGGGTTCTTCCATAAGAAAGCAGGCTGAGCAAGCCATGGGGAGCAAGCCAATAAGCAGTACCCTTCCATGGCCTCTTCATCAGTTCCTGTCTCCAAGATCCTCCCCTCCTTGAGTTCCTGTCCTGACTTCCTTTGGTGATGAACAGCAATGTGGAAGTATAAACTAAATAAACCCTTTCCTCCCCAACTTACTTTTTGGTCATGGTATTTTGTTACAAGAGAAACCCTAACTAAGACAATAAGTGTAACCAGAGTTCATTATTTACATATATAAAGGTGTCAAAGAAAAATTAGTAAGTTCTATTTTAAAAGTTTTATTCAAACGTTTGCTGAGGCACTAACATTTGTAAAGCACTGATAGGCAGATTAGTTTCTTTTTAGGAGTGTGTGCATGTTCCCCAAGTTTATTTGTATGCTGTTATCCTCAGAGGTGAGAAGAAGGGTAGGGTGCCCTGGAGCGGAGTTGCAGATGGCTGCCAGCTCCCTTTAAAGCATGCTGGGAACTGAGCCTGGATCCTCTGTAGAGCAGGAAGTGCCTTGTCTCTAGGCCTGATAGACAGACTTTTATTGCACAGTTATACCCGAAAATATGGATCCTGTTTGTTAAACACAATTTCAAGTTTAACGATAGTGGTTCCTGAAAAATAAATGACCCTGTACTTCATAATGCAAGTCAAAGCATGGCTGGACTGTTTTCTCTTTTACCACTAAAACAATTTGTGACTCTCTTTAAATATAGTAAGAGGACTTGGAGTATGTATGTGTACTATTTCAAATAAGACTTAACAGTTTTAAATGCTAAGGAGGCAGGGTGGGGTTGGGGAGTCCTATTATGGCTGGTCTTGACTATAAACTAATTGAGGTTTAACATCATTAGGTAAAAAATGCTCTGAGCCTGTCTGTGAGGGAATTTCCAGATTGTGATAAAGTGGGAAGCCCCTAATGTAGGTAGCCCCTAATGTGGGTAGCACCATTGCATTTGGCTAAGACCTTGGACTGAATAAAAAGAAAATGAGCTAACCACCATCAAGCTTTGCCCTCTGCCTCCTGAGTGTGGGTGAAGGATGCCCAGACACCTCAAGCATCTGGAGCCAAGAGTTCCCCACCATGATGGACTATGCCCTCAAGTGAAAATAACCCTTTCCTTAAGCTGCTTTTGTCAGGCATCTCCTCACAACAATGACAACAGTAACAGACGCTGTCTCACTGTAAAGAAAAGGATGGGATCAAAGGGCAGGCACAGGCCAGTAGGCAGCTCAACAATCTTTTTTTTCTTCAAGCCATAAGCCATCAGTATAGCTCATATTATGATATTCAGTATTGTAACCACATTCTAAAAAGCTTAATATCATACCTTTTGGATAAGCTTAGACAAATGTACAACTAAAGCTGCAAAGCTAAATTCCTGGCACCATCATTTTTATAAACACCAGCCAAAAATAAATAAATAAATAAACTCATTCAAAAGCTGATGTGCTCTGCTCCCTGAACATGCTACCTAAGTGTCCCCTCACACACTCAGTGACAAGCAGCCTCTTCTCAGGGAAACTGAACAGGTCTCTCAGACAGAAAATGTGACCCAGAAGAGGCAAAGGATAGAAGACATCCTCCCCAAAGACAACTGCAGTGGGTGGAGGCAGCAAATTCGGAACTGTGGACCCAAGGTAATTTATAGCTGCCAACTCCTGCTGCTGGCTTTCTTCTATCAGGGGTATCTTCTACTGTCTCCTCTTCCTGTTTCCGACATTCAAACCATCTGGATGACTCCAATACTTGCTTTGCTCAAGACCAGACCTGTGGTTGGAGACCCCTTTGGGAGGGGTCACATATCAGACATCCTGCATATCGGATATTTACATTACTATTTATAACAGGAGCAAAATTACAGTTATGAAGTAGCAACAAAATAATCTTATGGTTGTGGGTCACCACATGAACTGTACAGTAAAGGGTTGCAGCATTAAGAACCACTGCCCAAGGCCATAAGGCCTCCAGATAATTTAAGGAAAGCCTTGCCTTGTCCTAAAGATCAGTAAAACCAAGGTCCCTCCTTAAGAGCCATAATACTGTGTATTTAGTTTGCTATTTTATCTCTTTTCCACAAACTTCTCCCTTCCCTCCTATACCTATCACTTCTCACTCTGCCACTTTTGTGTTCTTCTCTATCTTCTTTAAGATTTCTGCTATGTGGTGTTCTCATGTGGAAATCTCAGAATAATTATGGGCAAGCTAACACTATTCACCCAATAACTTTTCAAGACCTTTCCATTCATAATACTCCTAATAGGTGGCTGTTAATTCCACAAACTCTCAACTTCCCAACAACAAGGTAGGTGATGGAAACATCCCAAGGAGACTGGCGAAGCCATGGCCATACCCATCATCAGCCAGCTCCTTGTAAGCTGTAAGTTTATAAAATACTGCTGATTTATTTTCCTCCTTTCTTAAATGTAAGAGAAAACCAGATTAGAAAGCCGCTCCAAAAGAAAAATATTATCATCATAGTGCATGGTTAAGTATCACAGCACCCGAATTCCTCTGTTTTGTAAGAGACTCAGGGAAAATAAAAGAAGAAAAAGAGAGAGAGAGAGAGAGAGAGAGAGAGAGAGAGAGAGAGAGAGAGAGAGAGAGAGAGAGAAACAAACTAGTGCACCAAATATGAGAGTATGAGGACACTTAACTTTTACATTTTAAAGTTTTTTGATACTTCATTGATTTTAAAATGACTAAACTGACCCAATGGAAAAAAAATTACATTTTCTTAGTAAAACAGATTATATTCCATGCCAAGAACTTTAGATAAGATGCAATAAGAGAAGGCTTGGCTGATAAAGAGGGGAGGAGGGGAGGGAGGAAGGGAGGGAGGGGAAATCCCTCATCTAAAAGCAAAATGCCTTCTTTACTTACACAGTGATGGTGCCTGTGTATCTAAAAATCTTAGCAAAACATTCTGGAAAACAGGCAAACTAGATCCAGCAAGGGAGGCTGAAGAGATTGACTCTTTCTCGTCCAGTACTTCTGAGTCGCCACATCTCTACAGGTTAAAAACAAGCACAGTGGGTCAGAGCAAGGGTGCAGTAATAAGAGGTAATGATTTGCCAGCTCCTATAAACATCTGAACTCTCAGACAATGGAGTAACTGATATTTCAGCACCATCTGAAGACCACGTGTCACACAGAGTATCATTTCTAATAGAGGGAACCTCTCCACAACAGCTCAGCTGATTCAGAGCATACCCCAGAGAACATGACCTATGTAAACTGTTTTTCTGCTCTGTACTGCACAGTAAACTTTTCACTATTAACATTACCCCACTGAAATATAAGACAGTACAATTTAAATCTCCCTTACTCCCATGCAAAACTGCTGGAAACAGCTTAGGTTCGTGTCTAATCATGTTTTTTTTTCCCCTCTGGCATCTCTGGCACACGGTTCTGACTCTGATTACTTTGTGTTGTGTTTACGTTAGGAAGATGCGTGCAGAATGTGTGTTAGGAGCTGTCAACTGAAGAAGCAAGCAATTCTTCCAAAAACATTCTTTTGCTTATTTATCACACTTCAACACAAGCATTTCCTATGACCTCTGGGACTCTCCGAAGCTTGTGAAACACATCTAGAAAAGTTATTGTCATTGCTCTTTACTACAATTTACTAAGTAGGAGATTAAACTGTTTAGAAGTAACCAGAATCATCATTTCTATTCTTTTTGACATTTCTTTGACCTTTCCTATTTTGATGCTTTAGTCTGTAAATTGGATTATTAAGAATATTATATTAAAATACTAGTTATTCAAATATTCTCTATTTTCAAAGGTCAAATGTTAATGATGCCAATAATAATAGGAAAAATTATATTAGCCATCTCTAAGAAATATGTGTTTAGACACAGGTTTGGTTTACTTCGACTTTGAAACTGCTGTGAACCTCTTCGGCATGCTATACATGTACACACACGTGCGTGCATTATAAAATACAGAGAGGGGCTGGAGAGATGGCTTGGCACTTAAGAGCACTGCCTGCTCTTCCAAAGGTCCTGAGTTCAATTCCCAGCAACTACATGGTGGCTCAGAGATCGGCTGCCCTCTTCTGGCCTGCAGGCATACATGAAAGCAGAATACTTCATAATGTTATAATGAATAATGAATAAATAAATCTTTAAATAAATAAAAATAAAATACATAGAGAAGAGTAAACTGGTATAGAAAAGAAGAAACAACCTCGAAAGAGCCACAAATAAGTGAGAAATGAGTCTTAAGTTGGTGAGGTCTAGTTAGTCACTATAGCTACCATAGGACAGTCTGTTTATAATACGTGGAAGAAAGGCTTTTCCTGTTTATACTCTGTACAAAAGTCATTTGCTCACAGCTGAACAGTATCTTCAAGTCCCAATTTCAGCAACATGCTCTCTTGTTTTTGATGAGCATAGCCCTAGCAATAGGAGAGAAGACATCTGAGAAAATGCTCTTCCTATTTCATTTCCCATAGCTTCACAGGAAGCAACTAGCAGCCCTATGGAGAGCCAGGTGGATGTTCATCCATTCACACCACAATTTGAGAGGCATAACACAGAACCCTGACCAAGACGGACAAGGTCACTGTTGTCAAACTCACCTTCTGACAGGGGAGAGCACATCATCTACTTAGTGATGTGGGTAAGAGCAGCAAGGCACGGGTATGATCACATGGTGATGGCAGAGTTTCCATCACCTAGGAGATGACATGTAACCTAAGGATGCCCCACAGGAAGATGCTTAATGAAATAGGAGTGCTCTGAAGACAGACCGTAGGCATGAAAATGTTCAGGAGCAGAATTTGCTGCCCAGATGGGACAGTCTGAGCAAAGGCCCCAAAATAAAAGTAATTGTATCCAGTACAGGGACAGACAGCCAAGTTCAGGGTGAGAACTGTAGCCCAGAGGACAGTGGGTACCAGATGTTATAGGAAAGATGGGAAGGGCAAGCAATGAGAAGCTCTGTGGTTCTTAGAAATCTCTGACTACCTTAGGGAAGGGAGAACTATGATCTGACCCATTTACACTTCTAAAAGTCTACTCTGAGATCTGTGTAAAGGAGGGGGGAGAACAAAGGGGAAGCACACAGAATGGGAGGCCAGAGCCAGCAAGGTTAGGCAGGCCAAGGGTCTCCCAGATCATACACATTCCCTGTGGCCACTGGGCTAACATTTACATTAAGAATGTTCACTCAACCTGGCTGTGGAGGAGGGCACAACTTCAACCCCAGCACTGGGAGGCAGAGGAGGGTATAACTCTGAAGTTGAGGCCAGACTGGTCTACAGAGCAAATTCAAAGACAGCCAGGGCTACACAGAGAAAACCTGTCTAGAAAAACAAAACAAAGAGGGAG